GGTCGGCCAAGGTACTGCTGGTATTTGATGGGGTGAATTAGAGTCTCTTATACCAACTGACTGACAGCAAGCGTTGGGAAAATAAAAAGCCACCTCTGGGATTCGAACCCAGCGTCTAACGATTTGAAGACGGCGAGCTTGACCACTCGGCCATCTCAGAGATATTACTTTTCGTTGTTCATATTAAGAAGATAACAAAGTCATTAACCTTTAATACTGGGAGGCTAGGGGCTTCACAACTGCCTTTTAGGGGGTGACCTTCCGTGGGAAAAAATATCTTCAAAAGTCATCGGTTAATAAATGGCAGTTTGAAAAGAAAATGAACAATCATAAAATGGGCTTTAATTTGTCATGCGTCTCGAACGCCTGAGAAACCCGTGAGTATTTTTCCCGCTTTTTTGAAGTTCAGGTATTTACCACAGTTGGCTCGTTTTCAGCACCATTGCTACTCCTCTGACTCTTGTAGAAGAATGTAAAGTTTATTTGGTCTGACTCATGCCAAAATACAGTTGAGAAATTGAAGACAATCTTAACAAAGGAACCAGTTCTGGCTGGGCCCAAGTTTGACAAGGCCTTCAAAATAGTCATTGACGCCAGTGACGTTGGTGTCGGAGCAGTTTTGCTCCTAGATGACGAGTCAGGCGTCGAACGACCGATCAGTTACTTCTCGAAGAAGTTGAATTAACACCAAGCAAAATATTCCACAATTGAAAAGGAGGCATTAAGCTTAATTCTTGCCTTGCAACACTTTGAAATGTATATTACGAGAAACGATCGCTGATACTGATCACAACCCACTTAATTGTGTTTTTGGAGAAGTTGGTGACCAAGCTTAGAACCTGGCGAAGATTCTGTCGGTGGAGTTCGATTTTGCAACTTTATCCAGTCAAATTGTCCACACTGCGGAAGGAGTAATGTTGTTGCCGATGTTCTGTCCAGAGTTTAGATCTAGTGGTGTGTATTTCTATGTCTAACAAGTGAGAGTTTTAATTTAACTTATGCATTGTATTTGCTAATTTGCAAAAAGTACGTTTTGATGATAGGGTTTATGTTAAAACCTCTTTTTCTGACTTTCCTGATGGGGGAAATGTCGTTGACCTGTTGACTTCTGAACCATTTCAACCTGTGGTGGCGAGTCGTCTGTGCGGGAGCGACGCTTGTCAGAAAAGTTTGTCCACACCAAGTGAAGTGCAGAGCTGAATTTTGTTCCGGAAGAGACAGTTGTGAACTGAATCCAGTTCTAGTTTGTGGGAGCATCAAGTTCCCGTATTTGCGACGGTCATCACGCCCTCACCGTTTCGTCTCGATCCCGGTCATTCTTTTTCAACATGGTCTTTGCCCCCGTTGCAGCTCATTTTTTAAAATTTGTTTTTTGCACCTCAAGGACTGAACTGTTTTTCGCCATGTGGGGAGTCCAGCATTCTTCACCGTAGTGCCCGACAAGCTCTCACTCGTAAGATCATCTTGTATAAATAAGATCTTATCTTGATTCTTTATTATCCTTATCACTGTAAACTAGTTCCAGACGGAATTTTCTTTGTTATCCGTATGTTTTACAGGCTTAGTGTTACATTCTCATTTAAGTCATACTTGTTTATTTGTTCCTGATATCAGTGCAATCTTCTCTGATTTCTTTGCTGCATCGGAGAAAATTCAAGCTTTGGAATAAATACTATTTTTAAATAGTTTGGAATTTTTCGGATCGTAACACTGGGCGTGAAAATGGCATGATTGACACCGTAAATTGTTTCTGTACCAAAACAAAACACATCAGTCGTCAATCCTATATACAATAGCCTCAAAGCCCCTCTCGTTATCCGCTCAAAAATAGTAAAACGTGACAACATTTGACTCAGATTTGCTAAATTCATTTCTCGACTTGCCTTGGAAAGTCGAACATAAGGGCGTGTGCAGAGCAACCCAAATGTAAAAGTTTTATGGTTACATGCCTCCGGAATGAATCCAAGAGGGAAAGGCGTGGTAAGGGGGGCGGAGGCAGACATCTTTTTGATGTGTGAAACCATGTAGTAAAGGTTACACTCCATAAGAGCGGATCCCTGACTTGTAATGGGGACAATTCCCCCCTCCCGAATATAAAAAGCCCCAAAATATAGCCTCAACCCCCAGAAAGGCCAAGAAAGGTTACACGGCAAGTGTCCAATTTTTTTTGTCCCCTCCCCAACGACCCTCGAGTCCCTTCCTCTAAAAAAATTTGGTTCGGGATCCACTCCTGTACTAACATTATCTGTTTAAGTCCCGGATTCTTATTTTTCGGTGACTAAATTTCGTGAGTTTACAATATTTTTTTGAATTTTTGCCGTGTTTATCTATTATTTGCAATTTGTTATTATCAATTTTTATTCTATAAGAAACACCAAATTTATTTCATATAAGAAGACCACAGAGATTCCTACCTCCGTGGAAGAAAATGCCACTAGTTGGCCGCATCACAGACATAATACCGGCGTTGATATTTCTGTGGGCCGCAGGGCCGCACCCACAGGATAAAGGCGACTAAAGAGGCCGAAAACTGCTTGTGCGGGCCAAATCACAATTTGTATGCACTCACTTTCTCTACGAAAAAGAGCATTTTGTGGCCCCATGAACTTGATGATTTGTAGAAAAGACAGGTTTAGGCGGGCAAAAAGAATACCAGCTTGCGTCTGATTAAGATTTGGAAGAAATCGGTGCCTGAAAACGGTATATTCAGTTAGGCATCGTTATTTCAAAATGGCGAGGGGCCTCAACTTAAGGCTGTATTTTAGGGGTGACCTTCCGTGGAAATTAAAACCTTCAGAAGTCATTTGTTAATGAATGGAAATTTGAAAAGAAAATGAAAAATCATAAACTGGGCTTTAATTTGACGTGCGTCTCAAACGCCTGAGAAACTCGTAATTATTTTTCCTGAATTTTTGAAGTTCGGTTATTTATCACTATTGGCTACGGCTGGTTATTTACTTTCCTGCAACACGTAATGGTCACAGCGCCGCCTCTCGTTGACAGAGATCCCAGTTTTCGTGGTTAAGTCATGTAGGCCTATTTCTAAAATGGCGGCGCCCATGCTGAGGTTCTCAGCACGAGTAATTTCGGTCAGTGTTTCACTAATTTTATGAAACTCAAAACGATTTTATTGTAATGATGTATGACCCCTTATTGTTGATTTTAAGACTATTTTCTTAGCTACTAAAGCTGTTCTCTTTTCCGTAAAATGACTTCATTGAATTTGCAATTCGACAAAAATTCCTACAAATTTGTCGTAAGTCTAAATCATTCCAGAACTCATTTTTTGTTTCTACATACTATAAAAGACTGGAACAATCTACCCACTCTCGCTGTAAATAGTTCTTCATGGATGTATTCAAATCCAAGCTGAAGCTGCACTGCTAAAATGCTTTGGTCTAGTCATTCCACACGCAGTGCGCTTCTCAAAAGTTAGCGTGAATGTGTCTTGGAAGACATTTTGCTGACCAAACTATTTAGATTCAGACAATGGTACAGTGTGGAGCAAGGACAGATGCCGCCATGACGAACATTTAACACGTGGCAAAGGGGCAATTTACCTTTGTTGCTATTCAATAATGTAGAGAAGTTCCCGGATGTGCGACTGCGAGAATCAGATGTTTAAACTGTAAGGGATTGTAAATTTGCTGACCCAGTTTTTACGGCCTAGCTTATGCCTAATACTAAAGCTACATTTTAACTTTTGAATTCACCATGGTAGATGACTGTGACATTGTGCTCAGTAACTGTAGGGTTGAGGTTGTCAAAAAAGGGCAGGGTTTTAAGTTTGAAGGAAATTATGGGGGGAACTGTGAGTATTTTAAAACATGACACATACATGTAGTGGAATCAAATTTGCATGGCTGGTTTATCAGTAAGAATATTGCATTTTCTCACAATTTCCCCCAAAATGGGTCAGTGCAAGGACAGTGTTGCCTTTGTTTTTTGGGGGGACTTATCAGTTTTGCAAGATTAAAATGACAAAACCTGGGAGGTCCTCAGGTATACAATCCCCAAACTTTAATGTCTGTGACCGTGTTGTCGCCAGGTCCCTAGTTTGAATATACCACCTATCAGTAGAGGCACACATCACAAGTTGGAGACTGTCCTTGTGTTTGGAGAAGTCCCTTTATTCAAGGACAAAATCAGTCCCTGGCAAGACAGAATGGCCCTCTAAATGGGGACAATTTTTTTTTTCAAATGGGCTTGGTGATTTTATCATTGCTCTATGGATCACTTCAATACCCAACTATAGTTGGGCCCGTCCCAACTAGAGTGTTACAGTTTGGCCTGCCCAACTACAGCAGAGGGGTCCGGTGTGCATGATGTGACCAGCATGTGCCAAAGTCATATTGTTTACAAATGTCATGTCATTGGTCATAGGGCTAGATGAACAGATGAAGTACCACATTTTAGATGAATTGTGTCAAATGTGAGACACATTGACTTGGATAATGTTGAGACATTGACTTGGATAATGTTGAGACATTTCCCACAGGCATTGGTCAACAATAGTTGGGCCAGCCCAACTGCAGCACTACAGTTTGGACTGTCCCAACTATAGTTGGGACTTATGCTATAGTTGGGGCGTAACAGCTGTACACCAGACATTGTGCTGCCATGCAGTATCGTGGGTAAAAGCTGGCAACATGTGGTGCAAGGCCCAGGTCCCAGGAGAAAAAAATTAGCAGTGCTTTCTATTATTTGATTTGTGAATCTAGCGAATGTAGCCCATGCCATGAAACCTCTACTTGTTTTGATGACGGGTTTGTTCTCTTCACAGGCTCGTCATGCCCTTCACTGGGCCTGCTTGCCCTACCGGTGCCTACAGACCACTGCCGTGTGCTGCAAGACCGTGGCTGGCCGTGTGAAAGTGAGCAAAGGGGAGAAGCCTATCACCTATGAGCAGGCCAACCCGCCATTTCAGATAGGTGTTCGGAAAGGCTGGAGTGCTCAACACACAGGTGGGCATGTTTGAATGTACAATATTGTTCTTTCAGCGTGTATTTTTCATGGTTTAAAGCATTCCCAAGGGATAAGATTGTCATGAAAATAGGTGTCGAAAACTGAAGAAAAAGGCTTGTTTTATCCTAAAAGGGGAGTTTTCTGAGTCCCATGATTCCTAAAAACAGCTTACAAACACTGATAACCTGTCCTTACATCTCCCACATTCTCTTGTGGTCTGCTATCATTTATGTCAAGCCATGCCCAAACGTTAGGATATAGGGCTGTGGCTGTCGGTTTTTGCCATTAGCATGCATGAATCATTAGCCATAGCTGTAGATAACAATGTCCATTTCAGAAATAGCCTGAAAGTGAACGACTGTTGGCCAGAAATGTATATGAGACTTGTTTGATGTCAACACAAAAAGGTCTACGGCTAAGACAGAATAACTTGGCTTTATCCACACACAACATGTGCATCTTTGTAAGCTGCTCCTAATGGCTACGGCCATCTTCCACTTATCTGTGTGTTATTGCCAGTGGTAGCCGAGTGAATCAGATGCGGCTTATCCTCCCCTTTTGTTTTGACAGCCAACCTCAAGAACGAGAATGGTGCCGCCGACATCGCCATGGATGACCTCTTCATCCGGAAGTTCATCTATGGCACCTTCCACAACTGTCTGGCCACGGACCTCATCATCAAGCGGCGGGCCAACCAGATCATCCTGGTGGGGATCATGCTGCGGAACCTAGCTCCCCAGAAATACTACTTCCTGAGTGGCTACACAGAGGAGCTGCTCTCCCATTGGTTCAAATGCCCCGTCAAAATGGAAATTCAGATAGTCGACGACCGGCCCATATACAAGTGGATATGATTGGACTGTTTAAATGCACTATTTATTCTAACCCTATCAGTTCCTTTTATTTAGAATTCACCAGTGACATTAGTCAAATGTATATACTGGTACCCAGTATTTATTTGGTGCATGGGTTGCCAAGGAAAAATTGCTCAGCGGTCAACAAATCAGCCCCGATTAAATTTAGCCTATTCTTGAGTCAAGAATCTTAAGGAAGGATCTCAAATTCTTTTTCCTGTTTATTTGTTTTGTCAGATGTCGTAGAACAAACATTGAAGCTCTTCATTTAGCAATTTCACTCATTTGGCATCGGAATAAATACAGAAGTCACGTAGGTGAAAACAGCGACACATTATAAAGAGCCCACAAAATGATGTGACATCCAGATGAAACTCTGTGTCAAATGGCTGAGAAAACTTGGAGGGTACTGTTAATTTCCATTGCACAAAATACTTTCAAAGGCTTCTAGAGCCTCCAAAATCCTTCAGGTGGTTTTGGAGGATTTTGGAGGATTGAGGGTGAATGGCAAAAGTGCATGGCTGATGTCAAAGGATGCCATGAGTGAAGGTCGTGGGTTAGACCTTGTGTTGTTCTTCGTGAGTTGTGCATAAGTTCAGCCCGATATTTCTTTTGAATCAGCCGCACTGCTCAAGAATGCCATTTGCACTGCCTCAACATAATGACAGAAATTGCCGGAGGATTTTGAAGGATTGAGGCAGTAGGCACACCTCCAAGTAACATTTTCAAGAAATTTCGGAAGATTGAGGGAGAATCCAATTTTTTCACCCCCGAAATTGGAGGATTCTGGAGGATTTAGGAGGGTCCGTAGCCAAAAGGACCTGGGGGTATGGGTGTAGGTCAGAAGTGGCTCAGGCGACTCATGTTTGTAGATCAATCACAACTGAACATGTCTGTTGATTTTGACCTCAGAATGCATACATGTGATGTGCTGAAAACCCCCATGATTCAAAAGTAGCTGTGGGGACTTTTGACTTAGTTTTGTCAAGTTGGGTCACTTTGAAGACACTGAGAGCTGAGACAGGGAGCAGTCTTTTTAATGGGGGCAAACCACTTTTTTCAGGGGAGAAAATTGCAGGGGGGGGAGGGCCAAGCAGTCATCAGCTTTGAATTGGAGAGTCAATTTTGAGGATTTTATTCAAGCACAAATTGGTGGTTTTTTTTATTCCCTCTCTTATCTCTTTTCATTCACCCCCCTTTTCCCCTTGTGTATGCTGTTCATTCTTTTTTTGGGGGGGGGGTTGGGGGTATGTGCATCTCTTTCTTTTATCTGACTGATGGTTAGCTTGCAGTTTTAGCACACTGGATACCAGGGAAATGATTCTTGTTGACAGCAGCTGTTAGCACTGTACTGCCACTGTGGGGGAGGGGGGGTTCTCCCTTTTAACTTTGTAAGAACCCAAGTCCATCACTTGAGTTGTTCATAATTTGAATGCACAGTAAATGTAAAGTCTTCTACTTACAAGTGCAGATTTGTTAACACTTGGCTTTTAAAATTTTGTTAAAGTTTGAAATAATCGCTACAGCAAGTGGTTTAATCTCCACGAAGAAAAAAATAATTACATGATTACATGATTATTCTTTCCACATGTCTTTGATGCAAAATGATTTCCAAAGTAATTCTCAACATTTAAGGTCAAAGGTTAAATAAGGTTTATAAAATTAGCGTAATAAAGCAGTTTTGAGATGACAATCTATTTTGATCCATGAATATCTCTTTGGATCCAGTTTTGTTGTACACAACTTATCAATTTTCCCACGAATAATAAAAATACACACTGGCCATAGCTTATCAAGTTTCTAGCTCCCATCTGGACAGAGGAGTAAGAAATTTTATTTCAAATCCCGTGCTGTGTTTTTTCCATGAAATCGGAAATTTAAAGCCCTTTATTCTGAAAATTAAATTGTGGATGAGACAAGCTATTTGGTAAGATTCAACAATTCAACACTGCTTTGAAGTAAACAGTTATCGGTGAATGTTGAGCAAACATCGCTCCATAGATGGAAATGCAAACAAAGGTTTCTTGTCATTTTCTCGGCTACTACTTGAGCTTTGAAAACAAATCTCGGTCCTTCAGGGAAACAAAGTTCCTAGAATTCACTCTAAATTTGGGATGAATTGCACACCTAATTAATATGAAGGTCGAGTTATATTAAGAACTCTTCATCCTCAGAACTGACGTTTTAACCACTGCAAGGCCTTTTAAGTCTTTTTAGTATAGTTTTATATTGTGAAATTGTCTTACAACTTTGCCTTGTAAAAAATTCTGTGGCCTTGGGCTGTACGATAATTAGCCAACAGGGGGCGCTGTACTGTTTCAGTTGAAATAAACCGCGCCTGCCGCCGGGAGTCTACGATCTTTCTCCCTCTCACATTTTATGGCCGATTGGATGCCGAATTCTCCGCTGGAGTCTGCAGGAAAAGCTTGCAAAAACATCATTTTGATCGGAGAAAGCTGATCAAGTCGCACCTGGAATCCAACGGGACTGGATGTTGGTCCAGTGGGCCGTAAAAGTCCAGCAGTAAGCTATTTTCTGAGTGGAAAACGGTGAAAAGTGAGATGGATTCGAAGCTGGATCAGGTAAGGTTGGGCTGTGCTGAATTATTTATTGACAAGATCGTAAAACGCACACGCCATAATGTCGTAGGCCCGCTAATGTTTGTTTGGCTGAGACCCGAAATGAGGCGGGGCATTCCATATTTTTTTCAAATTCAGATCTATGATTTACAAGAAAAACGTCCTTTGGGCTGCTTGTTTTGTGATATTGTTAAAAGTGCATTTGTCATGTTTGTTATCTTTGTGAACATCCACTTCAAGCGAAAGACTTTTTCTGAATTTTGTAGGCCCAGGCCAGGGTTTGCATGATTTAGATAGGCCCTACGTGTCAGTTTGGTCAACCATGACTCAACATTGTCAACAGTGCAGGCTAAGTTGTATTAAGTAACTCAATGGTTTTTGTACAGTGATCACATCATATATTATGTATTGATATTTCTGACATTCGGATAATTTATTGGCCTTGTGTGGTAGGTTTAGGCCTAACTTAGTATTAAATTAATTTTAACCAAGTTAAAAATAATATTTAACACAGGAAGAGTTCCATATACGGATGCCGGTGATTATTTCCTAGTGACCTGTTAGCCATCAGAAAGCAAAAACGTGGGAGGGAAAAAATCAAGTCGTTTACTTAGAAAACATTTTTCAAACCAGTCCCACTGTGGGGTTTGTGCATAAGGTGTCAAATTACCCCAGAACTATGGGGTCCAATGTCCGCCCCACTCCTGTGGATGGCGGACCCCATAGTTCTGGGGGAGGGAAGTGTCAAGTGGCGTCTGTAAATGGAACTCTTTCCTTTAAGACTTTCTTTTCAGCAAGTTGCAGAAATCAAATGTGGCAGAAGTTGTCATCAGTTTATGTTTTGGGATATAATTCAAAATTCAGAATATAGGCCTAATCTGATTTTCAGAGAACATCTCTTATCCTTTTGTCTTCTTTTTTGGGGGGGGTGTGGATGACTTTCGTTTTTAAAATCTGTGTGTCCTCCAAAGTAAGCCCTATGTTTACACAGAAACTTTTCTCCAGAATAATCCAAACTTAAACTTTTTTTTCTCAATCCCAGGGGAGAAATTTAGAAGACATATGAAATATTTATCTTGGAAGAGATGTTCATTGTTCAACATGTGGTAAAAGTTATTTTATCAGACTGCCTTTATTACTATTCCTGTATATACATGTATTCATGAACCATGCAACCAGAAATGTGACATACAATGTACGTACCATAGCATCTTGTCATCTAGTTGCTGGCTTTAAAAAAATCCCATTTGATTCCTTTTAGGTCCACTCAAGAGTTTGATTTTGTGTGGGTGATAATGAACTGTAAGCAGGTAGAGCTACTTGGAGTAGCTGAAGCCTGCCATGATAATCTGGATCTTCCATTGTGAGTCTGTCGATATATTCCCCACAACAAACCCAGACATCCCACATGTCGAGGTCCCTTGGGTACATGTTCAACAAAAGGAGAGAAATTTCTGAATTATGACAGCAATTCCCTGTGTTGACCTTTTGAACACTACAATTTGGCATTCTACAAAATGTATCTTAGACCACAGGGTGGAATGTAGGGTGCCCAAGTATGCGTAGTATACCTGTTCATGGATACATCTGGTTTCCATGTGGCTAAGACAGCCAGTGTGTCTCACTTGATCATTGAGTGTTAGTTTGCTAAATGTTCTGGGAATAGGATTGTTCAGTTTGTCAATTCTAAAAATGGAATCTCACATTTCAGAATCTGAACCAGATTGCAAGTCACCGTAGCCTTGGGGTTTGGCCGGGGTTGTTGATTTTTTTTGCAAAAAAAAAAAACTAAAAATCTGATTTTTCAAAAAATTAAAATCTGGTTTTGTGGCATCGTTGTAGTACATACAGTGGCGCCACACTTGAAATATGTCGAACAAAATGTGGGCAAAGGAAGCCGAAGCCTCGGCAGAAGATTCTTCAGAAATACAGCGACGAGTGGCTGAGCACTGTAACTTCCATGGTTGCCAAACCAATGTTTGTTACATGAACATACCCTCATTAACCCTTATACACTCCATGTATGCAGGTTACTGGTCATGAAAAGGGCTTGCCCTGATCAGTTGACTCTAAATTACAATTTCTGTGCGCTACTGCGATGAAAAGTACTGCTATTTTTAAAATCTGAATATTAGGAGCTCTGCTTATACAGGTGTATGTACGTTCATCATGACTAACGAGGGAGAAACATGCCATGAACAACAGGTACATAGGTATTTATTACATTGTACATGTACATGTGTACAGGCACCGGTAGGTACAAAATGCTGGTATTTTACCTTGTGCAATGTGCAGAAAGCAGTCTCATTTTGTTTGTGATCCAGCTCCATAGAGCAATGACTTATCTGTAGGCTTGATTAAAAATCATTTTATTAAGGGCATGAATTTAGCGGTTTAGGTACACTATAATGACTAACATTTCTAGACTCAATAAAATACCGGTACATGTATACTATACTAATATACGTAGCAAGCCATACTAATGTACACTGATACATGTACTTTAAATTAACATGTTAAACCATGGAGGAAGGATACTGAAGGAGTTTGAACTGCCTGGGCTATAACATCTGGTCAATTACCACCTTCTGGCATGTCTGGTACGTCTATAGCCAGAGCGCAGTGAATGCTTGCTACGCACCACCTGTTTCACAACCATAAGCCCCTTTTGTACCCCATGATCATCACCGCAGTTTTTCACTGGTAATCTGCATCCTTAAAACGTTGGGCACTGCAGTATAGGAAGTTGAATATTCATGCCATTGATGGTGCTTGGTATGATCTGACAACAATATCAAATTTAATGCTTGCTCAGTTGCTTGTATTAGGCTGTGTGCCTTTAGTATTCATGTGCAGTCATTGCCCTTATCAAACGCTTTCGTCTGGAGTTGTTTGGGGAATAAATAGCGAAGGTGTTTATGAGATGTTGTGTTTTATTCAAATCATTTTTAT